CTCATCTCTCTTTTTAGCTTTTTGTTGTGAAGGTTTATAGCGCAGATCATCAGTTCTGCATCGAACAACTGAGACACGTGTGTCAATTCGCCCATTGCAACCCCCTCTCTGTATTCTCAGATAAACCGTAGTTAGATGTCACAAGGTAGGGCACAAAGCCGTGACCATACGCCTGTTGTAGGGCCTGACAGCCTCTTCTGTCCCCACCCTGAGCACCTTCGTGGGACATTTGTCTATGGAAACATTTCAGTGGGCACTCCACCCATTCCTGGAGGCTTGTTTTTTTGCCAATGCCTTCAGTGCAGCTTGGACTTCTTCCTGTAATATCATTGGCTGCTGATCAGATGCGACCCTCTAAAAGGATGGCTAAGATGAGAACAAACCCACATAAATACTATTGATGAACAGGTGAGGAAATTAGAATCCTTCTCTATTTGTTGGTGGGAACGCAAAATTTAACAGTGGTTATGAAAAACAGTATGGCAGCTTCCCCCCAAAACTCAACATTGAACTACCAACTACCATATGACCCAGCAATTCCACATTTAGGTATTTACCCAAAAGACGTATAAGCAGAGACTCCAACAGACGTGTGCACCAATGTTCACTGCAGCATCACTCACGATAACCAAGACTATCATCCACGGATAAATGGATACACAAAATGGGCCGTGCACACACAACAGGATTCTTGTCAGTCAGTAGGAAAAGTGAAGTCCTAATACATGCTACAACACAGCGCTGAAAGACAGACTGCCGAGTGAAGTAAGTCCATCACAAAAGGGCAAATAGTATTTGATCCCACTTAAAAAGACAGAAACAGGCGAAGGTAGAGAGAACAAAGCTTATTACTGTTACCAGGGGTGGGAGGGACGGGAAGGGGAGCGTTCACTATGGTAGAAATACCATGTTGGCTAAGGGTCAGGTCGCACAGCCATTTGCTGTCATTGCGGTCAATAAGTGGTACCCTGTAAAAAGCTGAATTAGCATAGGTTGGCTGACACACATTTACAATAACCAAGAGTAGCTGCTGATGTGCAACCAAAAACCTCGTGCGATTTGGAGGTTGAGGGTAATGGTTTCATGGGACCCACCAGTTAATTGGCCGAATATCATGTTTAGTGCTTCTAGCTACCTCCTAATTTGAAGCATAGTACCTGGGATCTTCACAGCTTGCAAGTAGTCATCCAACATACCCTGTTTCCCCGAAAATAAGACAGTGTCATATTATTTTTGCTCCCAAAGATGCGCTAGGTCTTATTTTCAGGGGATGTCTTATTTTTCCATGAAGAAGA